TTGAAATTAGAGATGAATTGAATACAGTGTTGAGTCCACAAAACTTTTCAAACAAATCGACCATTAATTCAATGAATGGTTCGCCAAAGAAAGTCAACTCACCCGTCAAAAGGAAGCCTAACGTTGCTCTCAATAACTTAGTTATTGACGAAGACGTGGATAACAGCGACGAAATAAGGCCACCGAAGCAAAAGAGATCGCGTCTCAACTCTCCTCCCTCTTCTCGGTCTCCCAAGAAGCAGAGGACTTCTCCCGGCAGTCATAACTCAAGGCCTAAAAACATGAAATCAAACGCTTTGTATTGCGTTTGTCGGAAACCATACGACTCGTCCAAGTTTATGGTCGGGTGTGACATCTGCTCGAACTGGTATCACGTGGACTGCGTTGGACTCACCGAAGTACAGGCCAAGAAAGCCGATCAATACATTTGTCCCAATTGTGACAAAATGAAGGCTAAGAACAAAGAGCTGTATTGTTTGTGTCGGCGTCCGTACGACGAGAGCCAGTTCTACATCTGCTGTGATCGGTGTCAGGACTGGTTTCACGGCCGGTGTGTCGGTGTCTTGCAGTCGGAGGCGCAGGCCATTGATGAGTACGTCTGTCCCAACTGCCAGAGCGACTCACAAATCAATTTCGCGAATCTTAAGCAACTGAACGCAAAGGACTTCGAAAATCTCAAGAAATTACTCAAATCTCTTCAGGTTATCATCTCTTATGATCTTTTCGTGTAAATTCAAATGATTTATATATGAATCCCATTACAGACGCACAGAAATTCGTGGCCATTCCTGGCACCTGTCGATCCCAAAGAGGTTCCCGATTATCATCAAGTGATTAAAGAGCCAATGGGTTAGACTTCTATTGATTTTCATTGAAATACAAATAAAACATAATTTTATAACTTGTGAATAGATCTGAAGACAGTAGAGAAGCGTTTGACGGACACGAGTTATGACTCTTTGGCCCAATTTATAGGCGATATCACGAAAATCTTCGACAACTGTCGCTACTATAACGCCCGCAACTCTCCCTTCTATCAGTGCGCAGAAGTACTCGAAGGCTTCTTTGTGGCCAAAATCAAGTCATTCCGAGAGGCCATGAAGTGATCACCACTTCTTAGTCTCCATTTAGTTCTTCACATCAATGCTAACACATATGACAGACATCTGTATATAAGTTAACCACAAAATTGCCACAAAAACGCATTTACTTATAAAATAGTTTTCTATTAACTCATTGTTTGTAATAAATTTAATTTATAATTCACTCAAATTGTAATCAAATTTAGTTTGTTTTTCCAAAACCTTTTCATTTCTTTGTAATGTATTGACACTTGGATTCAATGATTGTTGAAATTTAATAAAATTAATTTATTTTATTTCTGAGACTAAGGAGTGATTTGTAGGAAATGAGTGGAAAGGGATGCAAAGAGAGGATAGTTGTGTGAATTATGCGACCGTTGTTTCAATCTTATGCCTTACGTTGAATTAAATGAGGCAACAGTTTGTTAAAACATTGATTAGATAATTGAATGTAGGGGTTATGAGGTTATCATGTGTGCTACAATTATTAGCTATCACAATTTAAATAATTCAATTTAATTAAAAAATTGCCTTACAGTATATGAGTGAGTATGAAATGTCTTATAATATTGTACAGTAGATGTGAACAATATATTATATTACTACATTATAGGGCCTATACTACTGTACCGTATAAGAACCTGTTAAAATGTACCCAGGTTTGTACCGCAAATTGTGATTAGATATGAAAGTGCGTTCAGAGATTATTCTGAATATCTAAATTTTATTGTCCAGTACCACAGGTTCGGCCGCAGTGACCACTTTTATCGGCAATTTTTAACGTTATGTCTAGATTTTAAATATAACACATGAAAATGACCTTGATGGCATTTCGTGAAAATCGTATTAACTCATGTAATTATTACATTGTAATACAGTAATGCTGATAAAGCCAGTAAAGTGTGTGAATATATGAAAAATGACAATATTTCGGTTAAATTTTGAGTTATTCATGATATTATTTGTTTAATATTCTGTGTAAACCTTTACCAAATCGATATATAGCATCACATTTAGATGATTCACATGCCTACATTTAGATAAGATAAGCCAATAAAAGGGTAGACTTTGTCAAAATTCAATTAATTAATGTAAATTAGATACAAAGACCTGTTTAATGATAATTTAAATATCAATTTTATATTTTCCTGTCATCTCGGTTTTCGCCGCAGTGACCACTTTTATCGGCAATTTTTGATTTTAAATGTCTATATTTATTATACTGTGTCAATTTTGTATATAATGTTACTCAGAATACGAAAATATATATAATATTTTTAAAATTTTTACTCAAGATTTGATCGGAATATTGTGATTTTCATATTTTAACATGATAAAGTGGTCTTACTTGTATCATAATTATTACTTAAGATAATTACAGTATATATTTTCATACAAACAATCGTATTGTCTAAAATTATCTACAAAATTGACACAAATACCTGTATATATTATATAACAAGCCTACTTGTAATATGAAAAATTTGCCGGTAAAAGTGGTAACTGAACCGAACTCAAGTTTATAGGTTTTCATAAATAAGATTCCTCATTGAATGGACTTTTATATGAAGTCATAATTACCTAGTGGCAAGTTTAGACAACTTAATGCACTCACTCCATGCATTAGTCAGACTCAAACCATTTTGTATTGAATGCTTCCAAATGTACGCATTTATATTCTAACGATTAATGTCTGAATTAAACATCATTTACTAAATAACAATTACCGACAATTGTATCTCAATGAATAAAACATAATAAATAAATGCACATAAATTGTCAATCAATACCCGCAGTGTTCCCACGGGTTATAGAGCCCACGTGTGCACCACTAGTATAGACCTATAAAATGGAGAATACATTGAATACAGAGTTATATATGGATTACAATTGCATTTAATTGACAATTATATGAATGCATTGACTATATAAGCACACAATACATATGCCATACATTCACACCATTCGGACCAATGATTACACAATTGAGGCATTGCTTAAGACTAACGTTTGACACGAATTAACACATTGACAACCAATCAGTTCAATGCAAACCAATTGATCCCAAGAGAGCACACATATGACAGACTATTATCACTTATATGTTATGCAATGAAAGACAAAAGAATTGATTAAAAATAGTTTTATTGAAATGAAAGAAATGGTTTTGAGATTAATAATGGATTTAATGGTGAATGACAAATAAAATTGAATGAAATTATATACTAATTATGATATTCATTGAAATTAAAACAATCGGAAATACTCTGAAAATTATATTATCCGCAAATGATAAGTGTATGAGTGGTGTCATCACCGAATCTCATCCAAAGCCGCAAGTTATCGACGTTTGGTTCGCTTAGCAGAGGCCTTCTTCGCCGGCGACTTGCGTTTGGCCGGAGCCTTGCGGGCGGATCCGCGACGAGAAGTGTTGGCCTTTGGCTCGTCTTCCTCGTCGTCGTTATCATCGTTGCCATTGGCGTCGTTGTTGGCGGCCTTAAACTCCTTGAGCAGCTTTGCAGTCAAGTTCAAGAAGAGGTGGAGGGTGCACCCGCGGGTGGCTTGGTTCATGAGGTGACAGAACGGGAAGAAGGCGCTCAGGTTATAGAGGAGGTGCAGTATCCTCCGGTAACAATAGCTATATAAGATCGGGTGTTTATTCTTCGGGTGTTTGACGACAGCAGTGATCACAACAATTCAAAGCCAATGAAGGTTTGAATCACAGTGAAAACTAAAAGAGAGGGAAACAAAGACTTAAACATAGCGTCCGCACAACACTTACGTCACAACACTTCGCACACACCGCTCTCTCCGTGTCTTTTGGACACCAATTGTCTTAATATTCAACACTTTTTTAGTTTTTATTTATATTTAATTAATTGTCAATTAAATTCTCATTCATTGCATTGAATTCACTTGAAATTCAAGTCATAAGACATGACCACAAGTGGACATCATTTATGAATTGACTGCAAATGTGGCCAAAAATTCAAACGAAAGTCTAAACCAATTGAAGCGTTTGTTTACAAGAGTTGGGAACCGCTTGAAGACTGTGTGCTCTCCAGACAGACAGACAGACAGACATGGATTCATTGGCCTCTATGTCCACGAGTCGACTACACATCACACCCAATGAGTCCAAACTGAGAAGCGAAGACCAGATTGAGAGCAAATCACAGACAAGAAGTCACTCTTCGGTGCACCGCATCGTTAGCCCAGAAATCGTCAATTGTTTGGCTTTCAGTTCAGACCAATCATCTCATCATTTATTGGCATTTGAGTCCAACTCAAGAGTTTTCATAATCAAGTTGTTGTTGTCTGACGACACGCTCGACGGTAATGTGGACTACGAGTTGATCCAAGACTTCATAATTGGCGTCAAGTGTAGTGCCGTGTGTTTCAGTCCACAGACCAATTTGGATGTCATCAACACGTGTCTCAAGTTTGCGGTTTCGACCCATCAGTACGACCTCCGGGTCATCACCTCTGACCTCAAGACCAGCGAACCCAACGTTGATTTGACATATCTTCGGCAACATTCAGATTATGTTAATGACATCGCATTTGATCCGTTCAATGGATCCACATTGGCATCAGTTAGCGATGACTGCAGTTGTTGTTTGTGGACAATGAGTGATACCGGCGCTGACTTGACTTCCAAACTAACGCTCACTTCAGCCGGACAATCGCAATTCACCGTATTCTCACTGGGTTTGTTTCATCAACAGAAGTTTAGTACTGAGGTAAGTAGGTAATTAACTAACAGAAAAGTGAGTAATTTGTCAATAAATAGCGGCTTTTCTTTCCCTAAATCCGTTTCTATAACTGCCAAACGAAACGCCCGCTCATGTCATGTGATTGCAATCGTTTCCCACTCCTGAGCGCCGACTGGTCTCCGACTAATAGTCTATTCATTACATGTGTGGCCGGAACTGATGTTTTCTTTTGGGACACATCTCTGTCGAGGTATTCATACAAACGCCTCAATCCATGAAATGGTAAACTGATTGTCATTTTGTATTCACTCTTAGTTTACCGATTGAACAGAGAAGAGGACACGTAAACGGTTCCCAATCCATCAGATTCTTTGATTCCAATATCATAGCCACGAGAGGACGGCCTAACAATACGGTTCGCGTCGAGAATCTTAAGACAAATCAGGTATTAATGGAGGAACAGATGAAAGCGGGCGCCGGTATCGCCTGGAACTGCAAAATGCCAGTTCTGGCGGTCGGTGCCAATAAATGCGTCCATATCTATAGATTTGGATCTATTGTATGATTTATTTACTAATTATTGAATGTTTTTATTAATAAATGTCTCTAAAACTAAACGAAGTGATGGTGTCTTATAGTTGGAACCAATCGGGAACATTATCTCTCATATTCTTGTAATATTTACGCCTTTCCCTCAATCGTCCGAACTCTACCTCTTTCTCGGCGTCCGACAAATCCTTTGACAACTGATTCACTCTGTCTTTAGGAAAGAGATCCGGGAATTGAAAAGTCGTGTCTTTCGGCTTCAGTTCAATGAAAATATGTATTAAACAATGAATCGATGCAATGGTTTGGACGTAAGACATACCAAATCAACGAATGCTGTCTTATAGTCCTCCTCTTTGATGAGATATATCTTTCCTTTGGCTCTCTTAATATCACCGCAACGGACACGAGTTGTCACATTCATAACCGTCAGTTTGTAGATGTTTTCCAAATAGTTCTTGACGTCCCATTTGGTCATACTTCGGGTCAACAACACTTGCAATCAATAAGCCATTCAAACAAATTCAACCATTGCTTACTAAACGGGAACTTTGAGTTGGATCTGATTCGGTGGTAACGGGTGTTTAGGTTTCTGCAAAACCATCCAAAAGTCGCCGTTTTTCTGGGCGTCGACTCCCAATGGGTTGTGTATGGCGCCTATGGATAGTACAGTAATCATATAATTACCAATCATAACTTACAACTTTCACACGTGGTTAACCGTCTGTATGGTAGCGCTTCACATTGCACTCAACACACCTGACAATCAGTTGTTTGAATCAATTGAATGCAAACCAAAACATTTGAACTGAATTTGAAAACATTGAATGCATTGAAAGCATTGCCTCACAGATGTCGTGAAGTGTACGGAAAGGCATTCAATTACTTCTCATTCCTTATATTCACAGCATTTTTATTACATTTACTACAAAATTGTGAATTAATTTCAAATTGACGTCTATTTGAGAGTTCAAATTTTAAATGCTTTCGTATTTTCATTGATTTCTAGATATATTAATCAAATGATTTGCATTAAAGGCGTTAATGAGGAGAAAGTGAATGCAATGACAGTAATAAACGGGTTGTAAGTGTTGTAATGCTTTTGAAGTATTAATTTCCTGCAAATTAATTGACTAATTGGTGGCTTTTTTCAGTGATGTATAGATAGGAAACACATCTAATCTCTACTTAATTATCATAACTTACTTAACCGTCAATTAAGTGTTGCGTAAGAAACACGTGATGTCTGCAAATCATCTCCAGAAGTGATGAAAACAATTGAGATTAGATTGAAATGCAGATTATATTGCCTTACAGTCAGCCAATGAGTCGATGTCTCAATTATTTAGTTAATAATTGATTGAAAACTATAGTAATATTAATATAAAGTTAATAAACGAGGAAAACATTTGACAAATCATACAGTGATTGCCAAATCCAAACTCCAAGTCTTCCAAACTAATCACCAAACATGACATCCGCACTGTGGGCTCACGGCTTCACCATGAAGCCTCCAGACCGGTCACGCCCCCGGCGGACAACATGAGTGGGGAATCTAGACGAGTTTCAAGTGAACGTTTGGTGCTGTCACTTCCGATTCAACTCACTCGGTCCCTCAGCACCTGCCGCTCAGATCGGACTCGTGGCCAACACTCTACTCATCGTCAGAAGTGAAGGCGTTTTAGCGCTTTATAACGGATTAACTGCTTCTCTATTAAGACAATTGACTTATTCGACCACAAGATTCGGGATCTACGAAGTGGTCAAACAGAGGATCTCTCCAAATGGGGAACAAATACCACTTTTGCATAAAATGCTTTTGGCCGGTGTTTCAGGTGCTGTCGGAGGTTTCATCGGTAGGTTCGACCGCATTATCATAAGTGATGAATGCGTTGAATATCTGAATGAAATGTTGGAAAACTTTGAATTAATGATTTGTTGCGAATCAGGCACTCCGGCAGATATGGTGAACGTGCGGATGCAGTTACTGTAATTTGACGGGCGTCTCTCATCCGCATTGATATTCGTGCGGTAGCTACCGGACTAGGCTCAAATGTCTGTGCTCCCTTAGTTTAGAGAAAAATTACCGTGATGTTACCGGTGGTCATCCCCTATTATGATGACAATCGGACAGGTATTAGATCTCAATGTTTGACACTCATTACAATAGTTGACTATCTGAACAGTTGTCGTCATACGATCAGTTCAAATACCTGTTGATGACCAGCGCGCCCAATATATTCGAGGATAATTTGTTGACACACTTCACGTGCAGCACTTTGGCCGGTGCTATGGCCACCACATTGACTCAACCGGTACATCCATATCAATATTTACCATATTTAGCGTCATATTTGTCACATTTATCTCTATTTATAATAACAGTTGGATGTCTTGAAAACAAGATTAATGAACGCTTCGGCCAATGAGTACCAGAGTGTGGGTCAGTGTATTGGTCTCCTATACAAACAGTCAGGTCTTATGGGGTTCTTCAAGGGATACGTCCCGGCGTTCATACGTCTGGCGCCACAGACTATACTGACATTCGTCTTCTTGGAACAGTTGAGGATTCGGTTCGGAATCAGAATAATCTCTACTAAAGAATAAGAGCACAGAATGTCTTCTCCACTATTATCTCATCGATGGTTACGTACAGAAGTATTGTATGTATTCTTTATACTGTATTTACGGTAGTAAATAGATTGAATCGTGTATTGGATGAAAATCCGGTTAAATATTTATGAAACCACGAAATAATTAGACGTTTTGTCCATAAATTGAAATATTTATTTTCAAATTAATTGAATGTTTAGTTAAATTGAAATAATGTTGTATTTATAATTCATTATAAAGTTGTTGTCAATAATGAGTACAAAATGATAGCATTTATAATATAATCAAATAAAAGACGCGATTTCGTTTGAATGAATGGTGCGAATCATGTCTAACCAGAACAGCCACGACATCCGCAGTGAACGCACTCACGAGTGGTTCCGTTGGGGTCTTCGAGTTTCTCTCGCGGCACTCGACAGATGCAATTCGTGCCAAAGTTGGTGTCCCGCACTTGGATGCACCGCAAACAACACAGGTTTTCATAGCCTATTCAATACATGATATCATTAGACATACAGTGCTTAAGACACGACCAGTCGATGCTTAAGACACGACCAGTCGATGGTCGACACAAACCCTGTTTCTTCCACTTCGCGATCAGCGCCTGGTCTGCGATCCGCTGCTTAAGGCAGTAGTCGTACAGCTCTCTCGAGATGGCTTTCCTCTTGTAGAAGAGGTCATAGATATAGCGACTCCTCTGGTGATGGATCTTAAAGATAGGCCACAAGGACTCAGTCTTGCGTTTGCCTTCGTGTGTCTCCGTCTCCGCGTCCCTCATCTTTGCCTCCAATNTCCTCTTGTAGAAGAGGTCATAGATATAGCGACTCCTCTGGTGATGGATCTTAAAGATAGGCCACAAGGACTCAGTCTTGCGTTTGCCTTCGTGTGTCTCCGTCTCCGCGTCCCTCATCTTTGCCTCCAATTCCTCGAGTGTCGGCTCAATCAGTTCCCAGCCCTCGGGGGGCGGCTTACTTCGGGCCCGTCTTACTTTAGGCATCACTACTCTGTCTGTTGTCTCCAATGATCACCAATTGATACCTATTGACCACACAATCAGACAACCATTTACTCCGATGTAAACAACCGGTGCTGTAATGGCCTCACAATAAATAACGTGTTTTCGCAGACTTTCATAAATAGTCTGTATTTTATCGAAAAGGGAGTGATTTTTATAAAGTGCACTCAATTTAATCACAATTTACGGCTAATCACAGTCCTCTGTGCTATATGTTATGCCAACACATAGTCATTGAGAGTTAGCCATTGCAGGAGACAATCCATTAGCACTTCACACAAATACAATCAATGAGTCCTTTGTTTGACAAATAGTTTATTTATAGACAATTTGGACATTAAATATGAATAATTTAATTAAAGAAATAATTGTAATAATAGTATCGAATAAGTGGTGAGAATTAGGGGTCAGAGTGTAGTACTAGAAGAAGAGTCCTCTCATTCTGCGACCCATTCCTTGTCTGTCGTAAAGGATATTGAATTTATTGACGAACTGGTTGACAGTATTTGATCCTTTGGTGAGCATTCCTAAGTAAGTCATGAGCGCCACATCATTACACTGGTTGTAGAAGTCCTGCGAAAACTTGTCTGTACTGAGCACTGGTAGGCGATGGCAAAGATTATGGGTTTCCCTAAGAATCTCGTGATTCCAGGGAAGGGTGTCGTCGCGGATGTCGCGGACGTAGTCGAGAATGAGGCGAACCCTATCCCTAAGCATTTTGACGGCACTGTACTGCACGCGCAGGTGTTCGGCCACCAGCGAGTTGGCCATCTGTCCCGACTGAGTGGTGGCCGTCATCCTCGCCATGTGGTCCAGACCTATGCGTTCGGCCTCTTCTGTCGCCAAATGGTAGGGAATGTCAACGAAAAGCATTGTCGCCCTTCCGTTCACTAAGTCTATCACCGATTCATACAATTTTATGGGAAGTCCTGTGTGTCGGGTCTAACCATTCAATACAATAGCAGACAATCGTTAATCGTTTAAGACATTACTCATGAAGAATACAAACCATTGGATTGAGTTTCAAGAAGAGCGGGCTTTCGTTGATTTCGATGATCTGTTTGTGAATCTTAAGGTCGGACTCATTTGGTTGGTCTCCATTGGCATACCAGCCCAAGAAGTCGAGTTCGGGGAACACTTGTTTGAATTGAGACTCTTTGGTGTTATAATAGTCTCTATCAATGATTATCTCATTATCTAATCGATCGAAATTCAGTTCAAAAGAGTTCATGATTTCGATGTCCCGTCCGTTTTGTTTGCCGATCAGAGCGCCGACCACTTGCACCGGCACTCCCTGTGCGCCCTCACTTGTGCCCGCATTATCGCCACTGTTTTCTTGGGCTCTGATTCGTGTCCAGTGCTCCGACACATTCATTATCACCAACGGGTGCAGAGACACAGAGATGGCAGCCGTGGACACCGATGTCGACGCCATCACCGATGATCCCACGGACACACTCTCGCTGTCCATCTCTTGAGGCGCTGCAACGGCCGTCTCATTGGCGGTCGTGTCCGACGGCACACTTGTGTCCATTTTCTCCTCCTCTGCAGACATTATCTAATGGTCTAAATGTATGACAATTGGTACCAAAGTGTTGATATAGTCTTTCGTTGACTGCAAAGCAAACTCTTTTCAAAAGTAATCGTATTATTGATGCCATCAAACACTGCATGCATTCACTCAATGCATTCACACAACCAATCCAATGGTCGCTACTATTGAGCGCTCCTTTCAAACAACACTTCATTCAATGCACTCAACGCCAGACTAAACGCTTTCACTTCACTTCCAATCCATACACCACTCAATGAATCAGTGATATATGATTGCCATCACTGCCATCACACCATTCATTGACCAAACTATTCAACTAATCACTTATCACTCCAATTATGCATTTTATTCACATTTGATCTGCAATTTAACCAAATACACTTTAATTGAGCTAAGTTTTAACGTGTGCTCCGGGATATTCTATTAGACCTTGGTTATAAATTATACCGATTTAATTTATAATCAACTTAAAGAATTCTAACCTAATATTATTCTTGCCATTCGTACATAATTAGTAACTTGATCATATTGAGTATGCAATGCATCATTACCCAACCTATCAAACACTTGCTAATTAATTGATTCAAATGTAGTGTAATTAATGACATTAACCATTAACTTTTGAACACCTTTTCCTTCCAAATCATACCTGTGTTTGCAAATTGCAATACAAGTCAACACTGAAGCCATTTGAAAACAAATATTTATTAATATTTCAATTGATTTAACTGTACAGTTTTATTGCAAACTTTTTCTAACTGGGCTTAACTTGATAAAAGTGTTAATTCCGGACATACAGTACTCATTTTTGTATAAATTTGTCATAACGGAATACTATTTGTTTGGTTAAAAATAAAAACAAGTCCATTAAGTTCTGTATTTCTAAATAAGCTAATGTTGAACTCAATTCAACATCAAATAGATAACATTCATCTTAAATTTTATGTAAAATACCCTGTATGCCCTGTATAAGTTATCATATTTATTATGATCTATACTGTACTTATTAATAAAGTTATTCATTAGTTGTGGCAATAAATCATAATTTACGACACTTATAGTAATAATTTCACTATGAAAACAAACTTATAAAGCATTTGTACTCAACATATATTAATGAATTAGTGTTCGCTATTGAATGACGTTATGATGAGAGGATGTGATCGCGTGTTGTGTCCAATACTGGATCTGTGAATCGCTGCCTATTCCTACAGTATGCCTATGACTGGGATATGAATTGAATGCAATTAAGAATAGAGTGCACAGAGAGTGGCATTGAATGCATGCATAAACTCGCGTCGATTCCTCACCAAACATAACAACTTGTGTTCAAAACACATATTCATTAGATTTGCAGTGATTTTCAAATAATTCACATTTCACTCAAAATTCTGTCTTCAGATATGTTTCAAACATTTACGAAGAGTTTGACCAAACAAATGGTTTATGTGTTGGTATCGACCAGAAAACGTGTCCACACGAGACAATTGATTGGAAATAAGACATTGAAAGCAAATCTATCAAAGTTTGGAAAGAGTTCTTCGCTTCTGTTGTCTCTAATGCTGTGGAAATCAAAAGAGACGGAAATCAATGAAAAGAGTTTTATGTCGGAAACCATTACTCCATTGAAGGACTTGTTGTCTGACTCGGAGTCCATGCGAAAGAAGTTTGAGTTATTTGTGATGAAAGTGCAGAAAGACGTTTGCCATGAATTGCAGAAAGTTGAAGACAAAGACAACGACATCGACGGTAATCACGAGTCCGCCAACTTTCGAGTGGACCGATGGACTCGAGAGGAGGGCGGAGGGGGTGTCTCGTGTGTCCTCGAGGACGGCCGGGTCTTCGAGAAGGCCGGAGTGAATATATCTGTGGTTTACGGCACTCTCGGCGCACCGGCCGCACAACAGATGAAGAGTAGGGGGAAGGCGTTCAAAGATAATGCTGACTTGAAATTCTTCGCCTGTGGTGTCAGTTCTGTAATACATCCGCGAAACCCAAACGTTCCGACTCTTCATTTCAATTACAGATATTTCGAAGTGCAAGACGTGACCAATGATGAGAAGTACTGGTGGTTTGGAGGCGGCACTGATATGACGCCATATATATTAGATGAGAAGGATGTCACTCACTTTCATCAGACTCTGAAGAATGCTTGCGATCGACACAATAAGACATATTACCAGAAGTTTAAGAAGTGGTGCGACCAATACTTCTTCATAAACCATCGCAACGAATGCCGGTATTTGAAGTGATTATTGAATGCTTTATCACTAAATAATGGATTTATAAACAGAGGAATCGGTGGTCTATTCTTCGATGACATCGATCACCCGAACCAAAAAGAAGCGTTTGATTTCGTCAAGTCTTGTGCCGACGCTATAATTCCGTGTTATATACCTGTTGTCAACAATAATGTCAATAAAGGGTATTCCTATTCCGACAGACAATGGCAACTCTTAAGGCGAGGAAGGTTTGCAAACATGTCTTACGATTGAGAGTGCATTCAGTAATTGATTGTTTCTTAAGATACGTGGAGTTCAACCTAATCTACGACAGGGGCACTAAGTTTGGATTGGTTACGCCCGGCTCTCGATATGAGAGTATCCTTATGTCACTGCCATTAGTAGCCAAATGGCAATACTGTCACTCACCTGAACCTGGATCTAAAGAGGACCGACTGATGCAAGTCCTCAAAAAGCCCAGAGAATGGGTTTAAACTTGAAATGTTGTTATTATAGTTTTATTACCGGTATATCTCTAATATTTTATAAAATGTTTATTTGATGTCGAGTTCAATACATAATTAAATTAGTTAATTATTTGAGAAATTGTTCGCAAAATAGCAAAATTTGATAAAAATTTTGTCGATAATGACATCATTTACGCCAACCCCCGAGCCATCCCTTTACGAATCCTGTAATTCCAGAGTTCTTTGGATTAGCCTTTTCTGCCTCTAATGAGGGGAAAGTGATGTGATTGAGAGCCAAATCAAAGAACAATGGTTTGCATGGAATCGGTTGGAATTGCGGCGGAAATTGAGCCAAACTTGAGGAACCGCTCACTAACTCGTTGTCCTCGTAATATGTGTCCAAACGGTTCACTAACGGCTAATGAATTGCATATAAAAATATTCGTAAGAAATAACGTTCAATGAAAATTGAATTTTTATCATTTACTGGAATGTTGTTTGTCTTAACTTTGGTTTGAGGCACCACTTCATCTTTCATCAGATTATTGGCATAAATGGTAAACTTCTCAGACTCTGCTCTGGCCATCAATTGAGTCAATTCTGGTACCATTTCCTTAATTAGATACGAGTTAAGGGTTAATATTGGGTCAAGAAATGACATACAATTTTAAATACTTTTGGAGTGTTTTTGTCTCTGAGAGCGGATTCGCAATACTGTGCCGATCGGTGTAGAAGTGCGACCGACTCTTTCCAACCATTTTTAGTCACATTTCCGATATGATAGCACCGGAAAGCTTTAAACGCAACAATTTTTGCTTCAATAAGTTGTTGAAACTCTTCCACTGAATCACTGGCAGAATAATATTGATCTAAAGGCAAGCCTTGGATCTCTGATAAACAACCGATTATTATCTCAAACGGACGGACCATTTCTGACGAGTTTTTGAGCGATTTAATGAGTTGTAGATTACGCCCAACTGTCAGATCAAGTCTTAGATAAGACAAATAGTTGTATAACAGAGACTTCTCTTGATTTGATTCCCTCAAGAGTTGGAGACAATCACGGCATTCAAAAATCATTTTCTCGAATTGAGAGACTCGTGTCAATGGGTTGGACACCGAGTCCTGCATTAGAAGAAGAAACGCGCGGATCTTCTCTTGTTTAACAGCAATCGTTTTGCCCAACCATTGGACTTCACTCAGAGTTACCGACTGTTTCTCACGGGTTTGTAGTATTAAATGCTATCAAATACAAGTAGTTATGAAATACCGATAGACAGGGATTAGAGGGACAGGGAGGTTCGAGATTAGGCCTTACATCTAATTTATTGGCCAATAACTGGTCGTCCGCTTCATTGGCTTCGCTCTGCATTTTGGTTAAGTCTTGAGTCGCGATGTTTTGGTCTCCAATATTGAACGCACAATATCTGAGCGTAGGTTTGATTTCATCGCATCGTTGTCTGTAATAAACGGCCACTTCTTCGTCAGCGATCGCCTGAAATAGTTTCTCATAAATAGTCTGCGATTTCTTGAGTAATTCATTGGCTTTAAGCCACTCTTCGGCCTCGAAGTAGAAGAGTCCCGTCAGGTATGAGGCGTAAGCACTGGACTCGAGTTTAGTCCGGGCGTCACATTTGGTTGGACTCGAGTTGCAAATGGTTTGCAAACTCTGCGCGTATTTCACGGCTTTCTTGTATTTGCGGATCAGATGAAACTTCTTGCGCGGCTCAGTGTTGGCCTCCTGTTTGAGTTGCATAGCGTGCGACCAACTCCTCTCAGCGCACATCAATGGTATCATTAGGTACCGCAGCGGGTCTTTCTTGGCCTTATGGGCCGACATCACCATCTCATTGGTCACGTCCTTCAGCTGGAATGTGGGCCGAGTCTTACCAGTGGTCTGAACGAAGTTCAACGAGCGTCTGATTCTGCGAAGGCGTCGACTGCAGTACTGTCTGTACCGGTGATAGTCTCCATGTTTGAGGCCGTGTTGGCTCTGACCCTCTTTCACCACATGAAGAACTAACACATCCGGAGGGCAAACACGCCTTCAGTTCATGTCATATATGGCAACCAAAGTGAGCACTTACTCTCAAAAGTGATACTGTCTTTGTGGGAGACATCGTTCATTAGGTTCACCACCAGATCCAAGCCATCACTCGAAGACACGTCGCTTTCATCCATCGCTGTGACGATCCGATGCCTATAATCACGTGATTCACACTCCTTTCAACACATCATTTATGTGGTGAATGGCCTCCAAAAGGCTCACATGAATGCAAATTATGGAAAAGGGGGCGAAAGGGGACTAAATGTGCGAAAAGACACACATTTTTGATTGATTTGTCATAATTTCACTGATTTTTATAAACATTTTCATTGCAGTTATGCTTTGATTGTACTGTAAGTGTCATTCAAATCAGTCCATTGAATCAGTTTTGGTGATATATATGACACAATGTCAGACAATTTGTACTCAAGAGATGCGTTTGGAGGACAAGACATAGACTTATTTCGATTAAGTGGTCCCCGAAGTGACCAAAACTCAAACGAACCTCAAAGACGAAGAGTTGACTTCAATGTGAGCCAAAGAGCCGCTCAATCGACCGCTTCTCACGTGAATGCCATCAACAGATCCATTGACGTTGGATTCGCTAAAGACATATCTGAACGAGACTTGAAGGTAGCGGTGGTTGTGTTGGATTCGGTGCATGCGATCACACAATACCTCTTAACACATCCACTGGTTGTGATCCGCAGACAAACTCAAGTAATGATAAAATGATGATATATTAGGACACAAATGATGGTTGTGTTAATACCGTGTCCACAGGTGAGCCTCGGCAGCAAAGTATACCACTTGACGCCATTCACTGTCATCGCACTGGTTGTCGGCATTCAATCTCGACAAGGCTTCGGTGTCCTCTGGAAAGGAATCGCAAGTGTTTTCCTCACGAAAGCCATTCAAATCGGTTTGGAATCCATTATCTCCGAAATGACTCCATTTGTCAGGTATTCTTCGGTTTCAAGTCTTGTCAATGCATTTAATGAATGAATTAATTAATTGATCAGAGATTTTAGCTCAAAGAAAATGAGTGTCGAGTCAGTGACCCAACACTTGCTTCTGAAAGGAGTGGCCATAGTATTGGTGACACCATTCCTGTGCTCGAGTTGTGCGGAAACAGTCCAGAGTTCTATTGCCTCCGAAAATCCAGGAATTCTCGACTCCATTTGGGAAGGCTTTCGACGGCTGACTCACTGGAAAATTTCAGACCGAAAGCTCCCGATATGGCACTTATGCGGACCAACTCTTAGCTATCATTTAAGTTATTATTTGATCTCTAGTTGTGTTCAAAAAGTTTCACTTTATGTGAAAAACAGTGACAAGACTACCAGAACAGAGAATAACAATAAATTGTTTGATAAATACAAGGAAATAATGAGTAGCTTTTGGGGACAACTAGTGGCCGACGTAATGCTATTTCCATTGCAAACAATTTTGATGAGGTATTCATTAAATTATTTAAATGTAAAGACAATAGACTAATGACTGACTGTAATGAATAGGCTCTACCTTCAGGGCACCCGAACTATCATCGATAACGTGTCAAAGCCTAGTGCTGTCACTCCTATTATCTCCAACTATGAGTCGACCACTGATTGCTTCGCAACCATTGTTAAAGACGAAGGAAGACTGGGACTGATGAAAGGATTTGGAGCTCTCGTCCTCCAATACTCTATTCATTACTCGCTCTTAAGGCTAACCAAATATTGTCTTAACAAAACCATATCTGGTCTCCAAAATGATTAGCTATTTATTTGTTAAAATTGTTTTATAAGTGTAAGATTATACTGGTAATGTCACAAAATTATTATTATTAGAATAAAAACTTAGTTATCACTGAATTTGATTTTCTTAGCCAAAGGTTTCTGATTGAAATCGATCTTAAACTTGTCTTTTGCCGATTTCTTGGCCGCCCACGAGGGGTGCAGTGATTCACCCGAACCTTCATTACTGGTGTTACCTCTGCTTTGGGCCACACCTACGATTAGCATTCAACACAACGTTCATTTAGTTACCGTAATCACCAAATACTACAATAATACTGTATTTTGTTTACAAACCTTTGGATTTGTTGTCATTTTTATTACTCTTGTCAAACGTCTTAGTCTTATAATCGGGTTTAAAATTTCTTTCATTTCTCGACGGATTCTTTTCTATACGTTTCGAGTATTGGTCTCTCCTTTGCTCTGATTTGAAACCTTTATTTTGTGGTCTATTTCTCACATTTATTTGCCTCTCATTTGTATCGATACTATCGTCAGAAAGTTCTTCATTTTCGTCCATATTATCAGATAAGAAGAACGGATCAAACTTTGGTTTTTTAGTTTCGACAACATTTTGCTCTTTCTTCGCTTCTTTATCTGTATTTGTCTTAATCTGATCCTCACGTTTGGCGTTCACTTTCTTATTGTTGGCTTTCGGCTTCTTCTTGCCTTCCGTGTCAACCTTTGTCTTCAGATCCGATTCATTAGTCTTCATATGGCTTTCGTTTGACTCGTTCTTGTCGTCGTCTTTGAGTCCTTTATTTTTGCGGAGTCTCTCCCTTTTGATGGACTTCTTGTGGTCCCAGAGCTCTATCTGTGAGGGAAGCCATTGATCGCAGTTTGGGTTCTCCTCTTTGAACTTCTCGACCGCTTTCTTCACACTTTCATTGATTGCAATTCTGGCCAAACATTTCAATTCAATACTGCTTTGGCTCTGAATATATGCATTCAATGGTTAGGTTTTGCTTGAAATATAAGATAATAATAAATTCATACACTTTTGATGATATCGTCAAAGTATGTCTTGTTGTGAATCAACGCCTGTTTGGACACTTCGTCCACATTCACACCTCTCATGCAAACCAATAGTTTCTCTTTGTTGGCCAACTTCTTCTCATGTCTTTTGATCACATCTTCCGGTTTTCTAACCATTAGTTTATAAGACAATATGAAATACAATGAAAGCATAAATGAGTGAAAAAGTGAATACCCTTTGGTTGAAGTGGTCTTTAATTTCTTGATATGTTTCGTGAGTTTCTGGTAAACAAAACGCTTTGCGTTTCGCACTGTCTTTCGCATCAAAACTATCTATAAGTCAAACAAAGTGTCCATTCATTGAACCAATTATATGACAATCAATTCAATGAATACCTGATTGTTAACCAAATTCTTATCCATTGTCTCTAATGAATGGTAATAATGAGTGAATCAAATGAAATGCATTTAAAACATGTGGTCTTACGAGTGGTTTATTTTCAAAAGTAAACACTTTTGCAGTGCTTTTACAGCAAACATAACTTACGACTAATCCGTCGATATATATATATTATTTAATATCTATTGAAATAAATTTATTTAATTAATTTTTATAAGTTAAATAATACCACTGTTTGATTGTAATTGAATTGAAATGTTATGCATATTTTAAAAGTAAGCGATTATTAAATGATTGTAAAAAATGCAAACTTTTTGTGGACGTATTCAATATTGATGACAATTTGATTGAGACTCCATTTACAGTGAAATCTTTTGATAAGATTACCACAATTTACAGGTAATTACATGAGTATTTAGCGTTCATTTCAATTCATTTGTAATTAATTAACAAATTAAAACAAATAAATAGCAAAATGTTTGGTCGTATGGTATCTATGGGTCGTTGTTTGACAGGCAATGCATTGAAATTGCGAGCAATGAATCAATTGAATGGTAAGTCACATACATTTCAATGATATTTGTATTCAATTGATGTTCAATTGATTTGTGTTTGCAATGTATGACACATTGGATGCAAATACTGTATACAAACCATGTATTCATTGAATGTTGTGTTAGTATTGCGAGGGCTGAGCAGTGGGTCGGGAGGTGTGGACCCAAACCCGGGTCTTGCGGTCCCAAAACACGGCCGCAAAGAGACTGAAGAGGAGTTCGACCAAAGATATATCAATTACTTCAACCGCAAAGACATTGATGGCTGGGAGGTTAGGAAAGCGATGAACGACATGCATGGCATGGATCTGGTGCCGGAGCCAAAGGTGGTGGTGGCGGCCCTCCAGGCGTGCCGTCGTGTCAACGATCACGCGCTTTGTGTGCGATATCTGGAGGCCATCAAAATGAAGAGCGTCGGCAATCCCCAAATCTATGCCTACATTATCCAAGAGATTAGACCAACACTTGACGAGTTGGGGATCAGTACTCCCGAGGAGTTGGGTTACGGAGAGCCCGAGTTAGCGCTCGCCAACCCTTACGACATGCACTGAATGAACGGTTATTTAAATGAATAAATATATGAATAAAGCATTAATTAGTTCCCAAAACAAGTCATAAACAAAAATGTGTTTTATTTGAAATTCTTTAATCAAATGATTGTTTTACTCGTAAATATAATTATATTAATCTTAAAAACTGAAACAATTATTGGAAATTTGTGGCAAAAACTTAAAATAAATATAAGTTACTGTAGATTATATTTAACAAATTGATTGACTTTTTAAAGGATTTGAAATTGAATCTATAAATCAGATAAACAGTTAAACATCGATACAATTAATTGATGCCATTTGGAGTCCATGAGTTGATCTCAAATATGATCTAATTGTGGATTAAATGCACTGATAATGCAATGAAAAGTTGTGGATTTAAAACAGATTTAAATATTACGTAACGTTATGACTGTACGACTGTAGACACGCCCCCCTATGCAGTGAAAGGCGTGTCATTCGGTCCAATGGCGCGAACCCTATGTTTGCATTGAATGGCAGTATTGGCGCACAAATAGGCTGACATTGACTCATAAATACGTTACACCAGTCTATGCAGTGACTGCAGGCGTACAGTGAGTGTTGCATCAACTCAATCAACTCATGACCACATCTACTGATCATCACCACAACTGATCCGCATTTCTCTTCAATCTAAGCAACACAACCGTGTCTTCAATGTCTCACAAAAACATCTATTACTCGGACAAGTATTACGACGACAAGTTTGAGTACAGGTTTGTCTCATACCACTAACCATTGAACCAATTGTGTTGATTGTGTTGATTGCTCGCGAAGGCATGTAGTTCTTCCCAAAGACATCGCCAAGATGATACCGAAGACACACCTCATGTCTGAGGCCGAGTGGAGGGCGTTGGGAGTGCAGCAAAGCCAGGGTTGGATTCATTACGAGCGACACGAACCCGAACCACATATCCTGCTCTTCAAGAGACCCATCACTCTGTCGGGTCCGCCGCCATCACAAGTGGAACAGTTTAGGGCAGAACTCAACGAACAGTGAACTCCCGATGACTGCACCAGTCATGCCATTGCATCCACGACCGCAACAACGCTTTTATCAATGTTTTCAATATATATGAACCAATCTATTGATCTATTTTTTGCACTAAATTTCCAATTCTTGTAAATATGTGTCAATTGTTTGAATAAATAATTATTTTTCAAATCCAATACTCTTTATCATAATTATAATGCATTTAATCGCTAATTCATTTAGAAATAAAGTACATATTCATACAAATGGATAATTGCTTGCGTTTAAATACGATTGACATAAAAATATACAGATTTATAAAATGCTATCTAAGATACTGTATGTATGATACCGTAAATCAAAGTGTTTATTTAAAATCAAATTAAAATAATCATTTTAGCCAAACGACTAAATTATGGTAATAAAAGAAATAAAAGTAGATTAAAATGTGAAGCAAATGGTGTCTTATGGGTGAAGAGCGGCGATCTCATCGATGACCGGAGCCTTCAATTGAGGGATTCGTGAGATTTCCATCAATTTGGCTGAAGAATACTTTTGACGACAATTCTATGGTTTGGTGTAAAGAATATATGGATTAGATATGAAGACATGTCATAAAGGAGTCATATTTATAATTACTTGGAATTTAGATCTTTCCGATTTGAGAATAATTTTGCAGACCAGAGAAGCGCCGGCCATAAGCTGTGATTCGTTATAATTGCTGTAATACTCCAGAGTTGGCGTCCATTTGGGCGACGAGTCGTCACTATCGGCCAAAACTCTGAGCGTAACGTATAGGGAGACGGCGGCCAATAGGGAGGGCTTCCAATGCGCGCACTCGTACTCCACTAAAGTGAGTTCCATGAGGTATTTGGCCAGAGAGTGGATCCTCGAGTCCGCGTGACCGGCCTTCGAGTTGCGGCGCAAGAAATGCAGCGGTAGGGGTCGTCCCAACTCGAAGTTCAGTGCCTTAAGGATGGCCAGTTCCATCTTAATTATGTCTCTCTTGTGGTAGAGTTTGTCGCAAATCATGACAAAGTCCTTAATATCGGGCGGATATATCTCCTCGAATTTGCTGGCAATGAAGAACGCGGTCACTCCGACCAATTGGATCTTATCTTTGCTGATCACCTCTTTCTGTAGCCATCAGTCACTCATTACAAACTCATTGACATTCAGCCAAAAATCATTCATTACCTGAAAAAATCTGTCCATAATGGAGATCCCGAGGTATAAGGTCTCGGGAAGGAGTCTGAACTGGTGGTGAACATTGATCAGCCAATCAATGAGAACCGACCGCATTCTGGGAGTCATCTCCTTCTGTACGGACAAGAAGTTGCATCCAATGCTCTGTTCGCTCTATTCATACATACATTCAATTTGTTACAAATGTTGTCTGTTTTGCATTCATCTAACCGTAAACCAAAGAGTACTCAACAGTGACAATACATACCTCTAATTGTCTTAAATATCCATAGATCTCATAGACGTAATCCGGAGTGAGGAACACATTATTGCCGTCATTTACGTCAATATCCTCGACGTTGTCGGGAATCATTTGTGAAGAGAAGGCCAACTCTTCAGGCGCTTTGACCTCGACTTTGGGTTCGGCCTTAAGCTTAATCTTCTTCTTGAGCGCATCGATTGGGATCTTGGATGTGATGGGCACTCGAGAAGTGGTCGCCTCTGCGTTCTCGTCGTTCACTCCTCGGGTGGCCTTCAGGCGTGTGCTTCGAGTGGCGACCTATTGGGCAGACCTATCATCAGTACATTCATGGCAAGCAAACCACCACTCAATACATACGGCTTTCACGGCGTTATGAAGAGCTCTGCCGGTCGTGTCCGCCAACACCCGGTTCTGTCGCATAGACACCGCCAGAGGAAGGCGTCCCCTATTCGCCGGTATATTACTTCTTCGCTGACCTAAACCGTTGTGTGAAGACTAGAGAGAAGATAATGTTAGTCATTGTTAACCCATTTGGCCATTGGTTGCAGCAATTCATACCATTTTAAAGAGCAATTGAGACAAAGGATCAAATAATTTAAAGACACGATTCAAATGAAGTGATAATTAAAGAGTCAGTGATTGTGTGAGGGATTGAATGTGTGGTCGATTTGAATGACTGTTTCAATGAATGCCTTAATTGTTGGCAACAATACAATCACTTTCGTGGCAATGACTGCAACGACTGCACTGACTGTCAGCTAATGTTTAAATGCGAGACAACTATGCGATGAATACAGCGCTAAAAGACCGTTGAATTCGCTTCAACTTTAAAGCACTTGAATAGCAGTGCTGTGATTGGCTGTCTGTTTAAATGCCAGTGCTATTCAGCATGCGTTGACTGCTCTATGAATAAGACATACACTTTGATGTAAACATTTGACTCCATGGAGTGAGACTGTGATGGCATAGACAGGACTCAGTGACAGTGACTGTGACTGTGACTGACTGTGACTGCGATGACTGATGCGAGCGATGATAAGGTGAAGACAGAGCTCTCAGTGGCGGTCACCTCGTCACCCATGACTGCCAGTGACTCACTGATGGCTGTGGTCTCCAATTTGGTGGATGAGAGACATGTCATGCAAATGATTGACTCGCAGACCAATATGTATGACACTATGACATGACATGACATATGATTGTCTCATACCATGGATGCACTGATAGGTTGGCGCGCTTTGAGAAGAGCAATGAGATGTTAGTGAATGTGAACGCATTGGCGGTCATCCGCTTCGACGCCGCCAACAGAGACCTCAAGAGATATACCCAGCAGTTGTGTGATCTCCAGAAGGACTTGGATTCCGTGTACCATAGGATCAAATTCCTTCGCCTCAAACTCGCGCAACAATACCCACAAGCCTTCAAAGGTATGCACAGGACTGCAGATATGAATGCTTTTACTAATGATTATGTGTTAACCATAGCGTGTGGTAATGTCTTCAATCCATTGGATGAAGAGGAGGAGACCACTGAAGATATGAAAGGCATTCAATTGAATGACTCGTAATGTGTTTGCAATTGAAGTAAAACTAATTCATATGAAACTGATTGTCAAACATGTGATTAAGTGAATGACGGTTTGTATGAAATGCTAGTCATATGCAGACCACATCCAAGTGGTCCCGAGATATACTGATTGCTGCGATCATCACTTGACTAATATGAACATCATTTACCACTCAATGAACTGAAAGTTTTATAATTGTAGAGATTTGTCTGCAAAAAACTTGTATTTTATAATTTGTAAACAATTAAAACATTTATTAATAAATGAAAGCATTTTAAAATCTAAATTAGAATTAAGTCTAATATTAATGAATTGAATGAATCATCAAATATTGTGCTCTATTTGTTAATTGCAATAAACCTTATAAAACTGCATTGCATCTAAAGTTATATATATTATACAATTGAATCGAAATCACGTTAAAGCTCTTAAGAGTATTTAAAAGACATTTATAATTTAGGTTTTGATCTGAGCTTGTCTTTTACCATAGCTTCCAAAGGGTTGAATATAGTATTATTTACCGGTATATTAATACTGTATATTAAAGGTTATCTTAAAATACTTAATATAATTACTGGTATATTATTATAATTGCTTGAATTTAACACATATTAGATCTGGAGACTAGTGTTTGGTATAAATTGATATGAATACTAAATTGGTTTCAATTGAATAACTATTGGTTTGATTGTGGTTTAGTTGGACTTATTGTGGGATTTGTCTTTGGAGGATGACATCCACAGGAGTGGGAACATCCCTAACAGACACCCAATGGTAATACCAAAGGCTCGGCCCAACTGTATTGACCATCGCGTGCGAGGCATCTGTAACTGAGCTAAAGACAGATCTGGAGATTTGACACCAATCCTAGCTGCGAACTGTTCCACATAATAGGCCGATCCAATGCCCGCAATGTCTGACAATGCGTTTCCAAGACCTGCCGCTGCCATCGTTGAGATACCTTCACCACAAACCATAGATCATTAGTCTCTTAT